TGCTGTGAAACTTGAAAGAGTGCAGAAAAGATTTACAAGGATGTTGCCGGGGTTGGAGGGTTTGAGTTATAGGGAGAGGCTGAAATGGCTGGGGCTTTTTTCCCTGGAGCATCGCAGGCTGAGGGATGACCTTGTAAAAGTTTATAAAATCATGAGGGACATGGATAGGGTGAATAGTCAAGGTCTTTTCCCAAGGGTAGGGGGTTCCAAAACTATAGGACATTGGTTTAAGGTGAGAGGGGAAAGATTTAAAAGGGAACCTAAAGAGCAACTCTATCATGCAGAGGGTGGTGCGTGTATGGAATAAGCTGCCAGAGGAAGTGGTGGAGGCTAGTACAATTACAACTTTTAAAAGGCACCTGGTTGGGTACATGAAAAGAAAGGGTTTAGAGGGATATGGGCCAAATGTTGGCAAATGGGACTGGATTGAATTAGAATATCTGATTGTAATGGACAGGTTGGACTGAAGTGTCTGTTTCCACGCAGGAGAACTCTCTGACTCTATGACTATGACCATCCCAAACCACAGTGACTATAGGAATACTTTGACTAAGTTTCATGGTTTCCACATTTCCCCTTTTGGAAATGTTTATTGATTCTAGCGGTCGCTTCTATAATTAACTTTTCATTATGCCTGTCCCACATGATGTTTCAGGATTCCCTGTGATACACCACGTGGGGATAGTGCACTGGAAATAGAACCTCATTATTCCAGGAATGATCACAGAAGTTAAAGGCTTTATAAATATGTGAAAAATTCACCAATTTACCCAAATTGCACACAAAGGTTAGCAGAAAGCTTGGAGCAGATTTCTGAATACAGCAAGAATTATTCCATATCACAAATAAATAGATTCCAGCTACAGATAAATAATTATGAATCATTGGCATATGACCCTACTACATAAAACACTAAGATGTTTATAGAACTCCGTCGACACATACATACAAAAAAGGCAAGACAGAGTAAATAGGTTCTTGATTAGTAATGGGATCGAAGGTTATGGGAGAAGGCAGGAGAATGGAGTTGAGATACATATCATCAAAGGTTGAATGCCAGAGCAGATCCGACGGGCTGAATGGCCTAATTCTGCTCCTTTATCTTATGGTCGAAGAACGAGCCATATCTCAAACTAATAACATATGACCAGACATGCCACAAAATGACGAATGCCTATGTACCGCAGAGTCTGAGGATTCTGAGTTGGTCATCTGCATAATCTTGAAAGTCAATCATTCTCACCTGGAAGGGACAACCAGTAATCTAACCAAGAAGTGGCAATGTGGAGAGGAACCAGGGCCATAAATAGGCTTCCTGACTATCCTACTCACGCAGGAGTCTTCAGCATCTGAAGATGATGCTCCTACCAGTGTCCCTGCGGAGAAGCAGGCCATTCAGCCCATCAAGACCACGCCAACTTTCTCAAGAGCATCCAACCCAGACACACCGTCTTACCATATCCCTGTAACCCTGCATTTCCCAAGGCTAACCCACCTAACCTGCACATCCCTGGACACTACAAACAATTTAGCATGGCCTATCCACCTAACCTGCACATCTTTGGACTGTGGGAGGAAAATGGAGCACTCAGAGGAAACCTATACAGTCACAGGGGAGAACATGCCTGAGGGTGGAATCAAACTCGGGTCCCTGGCGCTGTGAGGCAGCAGTACTAACCACTGAGCCACTGTGCCACCACAAAGATTACAGAGAACTAAAACTAAACATTTTCAATAAATGTTTTGAAGACTATCGTGTATGGATATAAAAGAATGGGTGTTGGTGATGGAATGTCATGTGATACCACGTCCAGGAACATGCCCAATCAGTGTTGGAAATGTGACAACATGTTTATGAGCTTATATGGAACCTTTAACCTCATGATACATCTCAAGGGTGTTCCATTGATGCAAACACACTCTAGTCCTAAATGCAATGCAGACAGGAAAGAGAAAGACTTCCACCACCCAGAAGGATCACTGGGCTTGAAATGTTAACTCTGTTTTCTCTGCTCAGATGCTGTCAGAGCTGCTGAGTCCCTCCAGCAATTTCTGCTTTTGCTTAACCTTCCGGTTACATCACTTTGTTTTTAATGGCCAACAAGTGTCTCAGAGTGCATTATATCCAATTAAATTCTTTTTGAAGTGTAATCTAGGAAGCACCGCAGCCAAATTGCACACCGCAAGCTCCAACAACTAGGATAATGACCAGTTAATCTGTGCTTTTCTTGCAAGGTTGATTGAGAGATAAACATTGAGTAAGTCACAGGATATAACTCACCAGCTTAGGGCTCTTGTGGTACAGGCAAAGCATCCCAACTTCTGGACCAGGAGACCTGGGCTCAAGTCCCACCTACTCCAGAGATGTGTGATGACCTCACTGAACAGGAGGTATCTACAACTTCCAGGCTTTTCTTCAACATGTGGAGCTTTTGGTAGTCATCAAAGCAGATAGGTGGGACCACAGCCAACATTAGACTCAAAAGAAGACAACGTTAACAACTTGGCACTCCTTCACTTTCAGGCATTTTTGATTTGGTTTGATTGATTTATTGTCGTCACGTGTACCGAGATACAGTGAAAAGTGTTGTTTAGTGTGCTACACAGGCAGATTGCACCCTACAAAGTGCATCAGTGTGGCAGGACAGAGTGCAGAATACAGTGTTACAGCTGCAGAGAGGGCACAGAGAGAGAAATCAACATGAGCATACGAGAGGTCAGTTCAACAATCTGATAAGAACAGGGAAGAAGCTGTTCTTGAATCTGTTTGTACATGTTATCAAACTTTTACATCTTCTGCCTGACAGAAGAGGGTGGAAGAGAGCATAACCAGGGTGGGAGGGTTCTTTGATGATATTAGTGGCTTTCCTGAGGCAGCGGGAAGTATAGATGGAGTCAATGGGTGGAAGGCTGGTTTGCGCGATGGATTGGGCTGTGTATATGACTCTGAATAGTTTCTTTCAGTCTTAGGAAGAGCAGTCACCCTACCAAGCTGTGATGCATCCAGATATAATGCTTTCTATGATGCATCTACAAAAATGGGTAAGAGTCTTTATGGACATGCTGAATTTCCTTAGCCTCCTGAGGAAGTAGAGGTGTTGCTGTACTTTTCTGACCATTGTGTCAATTTGGGTGGACCAGGACAGATTGTTCGTGATCATCACTGCCAGGTACTTTCTACTCAAACACACCTCTGGAGTAGGTAGGATTTGAACCCAGGGCAATCTAGCTCAGAGGTAGGAACACTACCACTGTTCCAGTAGAACCCTCAGCCATGACTTTTATAATTAAGCATGAGATTGGGATTATAACCAAGAATTTTTGGTTAGCAAGCTGCTACCTAAGACATGACTGACGGCATAGGTTTAAAACGAGAAGGGAAAGATTTAAAAGGGTCAACTTTTTCAAGCAGAGGATGGTGCATGTATGGAAAGAACTGCCAGAGGAAGTGCTGGAGGCTGGTAAAAATATAACATTTTAAAGGCATCTGGACGGGTATATGAATAGGAAAGGTTTAGAGGGATATGGGCCAAATGCTGGCAAATGGGACTAAATTAATTTAGGATATCTGGTCTGCATGGACAAGTTGGACCAAATGGTTTGTTTCCCTGCAGCACATCTAAATGGCTCTATGACTGACACTTGACTAGGTGTGGGGAGACAAACAGGAGGCTGGAAGAACACAGAAAGCCAGACAGCGTCTAGAGGAAAAGGAGCAGTCAACGTTTTGGGTAATACTGACTGTGTGCTGAAGAAGAGTAATATCTGAAACATTGACTGTTCCTTTCCTCCAGATGCTGCCTGGCCTGCTGTGTTCTTCCAGCCTCCTGTTTGTCTATCTTGGATTCCAGCATCTACAATTCTTTTGTCTCTAGGTACAGGGAGAAACTGGTTGGTTGCCTAATTCCTATCCCACGTTCAAATAACCTTCCAGTTAAACCTTAGACACAAAGAGCAGCCAAAAGAAGTTTTTTTTTGCTGAACAAAAAATAGAGAACTTTATGACTCTATGATTGTTTTTGGATGAGGCATAGTAGCTCAGTGGTTAGCACTGCTGCCTCACAGCACCAGGAACCTGGGTTCAATTCCATCCTTGGGCGACTGTGTAGAGTTTACACGTTCTCCCCGTGCCTCTGCGGGCTTCCTCCCACAGTGCAAAGATGTGCAGGTTAGGTAAATTGTCCAGTGTCCAAGGGTGTGCAGGCTAGGTGGGTTAGCCACGGGAAATGCAGGGTTACAGGGATAGGGTAGGGAGGCGGGCCTGGGTGGGATGCTCTTGGGAGGGTCAGTGTGGCATTGATGGGCTGAATGCCCTGCCCCCACACTGTGGGGGATTCTATGAACTGCAGGAAAACAGAAATTGCTGGAGGAACTCAGCAGGTCTGGCAGCATCTGTGGAGAGGGAAAGCAGAGTTAATAGTTCAGGTCTGAACTATTCCTCGGAGCTCTGAGTTTTCCCAGCAATTTCTGTTTTCGCTCCTCACTTATTGTTTTGTGGGCGAAAGTCAAGGCGCTGCAGGAAAAATCATTGCCCCTGAACTCAGAGAGGAGATCAAAACCAGAGACAGCAAGCTCCTGTGAAGGTGCTGAATATTTCTGACCATACACACACACATATTTCCAATCTCTTCTTAGAATCTCTGGCAAGCTTCGGAGCCGTAGGACCCAGTGGAATCCAACTGGTGAAGCTGTTTGTGCTCTGCTTGGATTTAGCCACAGGTGTGTGCTGTGAGTCTCTACCTTTAGAATACTTTATTTCTCTCGCTGTAATCACAGCAAAACATTCCCTCCTTCCTGGGGAAAGAATTCAGATCTGGACAAAGCATTAAGTGACCTTCCTTTAAAAGTATTGATCGCTTGGTTGCTCAATAGACCTGTTTTTAATTTCCATTTCCAGCCCTCCCAAAAAACAAATTAGCCCTGTCAGTTTTCTCTCGGAAAGACCTGTCAACTGAAAGCGTACTGCGGATGCCTGGCAGAAAGCATATTCAACTGGGATATTCAACTGTGTACCTGAGAATTCAACATGAATGTACAGGAAGCCTGCGAATTTATCCCAACACCTGTGAATATGATCAAAACCAACATGAACTGGCACCCCAACGCAGAAATTGTAAGTTGCAATGTTGCTGGGAGGTTTGTTGCATTTTACAGCGACACTGTTGACTGAACTGCCCCCTTCCAGTTGTTTTAGCTCCAGTGTTCGGGGCGACTCGGCTTTCTTAAAGCACATGGGTGCTGTTGAGCAGTTCTCTGTCAGCTGTGGCTCGGCCCGAACTTTGAGTGAGAAGGTGGAGAGTTCGGGACCCACATCCCAGGCTGGAGCACAAATTCTGGGCTGACTCTCCCTTGTCAGTATTGTATTTGTGCTGCAATGGAACG